TCAGTTTTAAGGAGGTATGAATACTAATTAATCATCCCATCATCAGTCCACCACAACGATGCTACCCGCTTACACGTGCGATGACCAGCAGCTAGATTTCTTTTCTGACGATGAATATAACTTGGACAGTCTGTTCAACGATGAATTAACCCCCCATGATCACGACGACTACCCACGCCACACCCCAACCTTTTCGATAATAATTTCGTGCAGCCTAGCGAGCCAGAGACATCAAATCTTCTGATTACCAGGGAAGAAGAGACTCACCCCCATCACTTCTCGCCATCTTCGAGCCAAAATTGGCTCAACCATAACACTTTAGCAATACAGCAACCTTCTCACACAACAGTGGACAACCCAGGGACTACCCTTCACCTACGAGCGCCAAGTCTTAGGCCGCATGATCCGACAATCACTATGAGCTCCTCGATGCAGGGACCGGGCTAAGTATTGGGGATTACCTGACCGGTTTTCCTCCACCAGTCTTATCTATGGATGGGGTGTCAACATTTCCGCGGGGATTCCAGGGTGAACCAGAACCTCTGGGGGAGCCCTTACCACATCCTGTCAATCGCAACCACGGACCATCGAAGAGAACTCATCCATTTCTGTTTCACCCATATTCACACCAACCCGGGAATCACGAGGCAAGTGCAGCGGATGTGCAGCAGCTGAATTACTGACGGAGTCATGGCTGCATAGTCCCAAGCTCCCGAGTCTGGACCATCCATAGTCCAACAACCACTACTCCCCTCGTATGCTGAAAGTAATCCTTTGCACATGGAGATTGTTCGGTCTGCATTGGACCACGTGATTGACTACGCAGTCAATGTTCACTGCCTCCTAAATCAGAAGGCGAGAAAAAGTTAGTCGAGGAAGCCTTGACCAATGCCGTCAACTCCATCTGCCCTCATACACAAGCAGGTAAGCATGCGTGTCCTTTTTTTGAAAAAGAACTCACTTGCAAGTTTTGGCCGTGCATCAGGGACCAGAAAGCAATGGGTCAAAAAGAATAAGAAGGCGCTGTACCAAACGATTTCTGATCCTTTCAAAAAGATCATGGCCGCTTGCAAGAGAATCGCACGAGCCAAAATCCAAACTGGATATCGTTTGCGTCCTGAACCTTGGTCAGGTATCTCTGAACCCGAGCACCAGAGACAAATAGTCCAAGACCTCATTGACGACAATGTCTTCCCTCCCAAATTTAGCGCCGGGAATGACGGTCATGCGCTTGAGAACAGGGTGTTATGGGACATCATTCTCAATGCTCTTCAGGAAGTTGGTTACCAACGGTACCTCAGAACGCTGGATAGTATGATGCCGACAGCAATCGTCGCTGTGTACTGTGCGTTATCGGAACTGTCAAGTGGAAGGTTGGTAGATGTTGAATTTGGGGCTGATGCCTTTCGAGACCGGTATGACGCACTGCAGGATTATATTAACCAGAGAGTCGCCCATGACGTAGCGTTTTTGGAGCGATGGAAAGATTACGAGCAGGTTACTCGTGCTAGGTTGCTTGAGATTTAATTAGTACTCATACTCGATCGCGATGATAATGTACCTTGCTACAAACCATTGCACCAACTTCAATACGTGTACTACTAGGCATTCGTCTTCTCTCAGTATTACTAGTGCAGATTCTGCAATACAGGTACTTAGCTCCTTGCCGCCGCCATCAGAAGATTCCATTTGAAAGTGTGACGATGCAGAAAGGTTTGTGATCGAGAGTTAGAACGTTCCAGGCCCGACTCACGGGCCTTTCCGAGACAGTACGTCATTCGGAGAGTTACGGTTCATGGGAACAGCGGCCTACTACTACTAGTCACGCGGTTGCATGGTTTAATTGCTTATGCCCAGCGATTTGCAAGCGCAATGCGCACGTTCTGGGCTGGCCTTCTCTTGTTTCTTGTAATGCTATCTTGTGACACTCTGGGTTGCTCTTGGAAAAGGGCGACCGACAACCGAGGACTCAGCCTGCATCGCGCGACGTGCCATTTCTATAAGAGATCTAGTACTCTAGCCAGTCAAAGGAGAAAAGAACGGGCAAAGGAGGCCGCTTCTTCAAGCTCGGTTCTGCGCCCTTTCAGTAATAGGCCAGTAAGTGTTCTATCTATTTCAAACTTGAACTCAGTCACTCAATGTAATCTCAGAGAATACTATCTGCTGTCCGACATGTGAAGGATCGCCCAAATTTGAAGCCAATTGCTCCTGACAAGCTCCGCAGGCCCATATTTATGGCTGACAGCTTGCAAGATGTCTCCAGTGTCTTAGACTCGCAGACTCCCCTTAACTCAAAGCAACTCGAAAGTATCCCTATCGAAGTTGACTCGGAGATAGAGAATGTGGAGCCAAACTTTAACGTCTCGGATTATCGTGATAGTCTAGGTCGGTATTCCTTGAGTAGCGACCGTTTTATCAATCAGTTGATATTTTCCAGAAGAAACTAGACTATCTATGAGAAGAATTCCGAGAGCTTTCCGCGACGTCGAGCCTTTACAAGACGACCTCCACCAATTGGATAACGCCAACGTCCCACCAGTTCCAGCCTCGGTTTCATTGCCTGCTCAATCCAGGATTCGACGAGTCCTTCTAATGCTAAGGGACACTCTACAGACCGCGTATAACTCGTTCGGTCTCTGTCGATTGTACCCTCGTCGTCCCTCCTTCGAGCCAGATCATTTGATCCCATCCTCCTTACTTGCAAGGACGTCTCCAACGGTTAGCCAACTTGAAGGAACTGATTCTCAACAAAAGGTTTTTCCACCTCCTTATCCCTTTCCTAACATGACGATCCATAGACTTATGTCTTGGATGAATTCCGGGAGTGCTCTTTTGTCTGAAACTAAAGTCTCGCGCTTGGTCAAGGACGTGATACTGGCGGAAGACTTTGACCCCAAGCACCTTGAAAACTTCTCCGTGAAGCGAAACTTGCGAGAGCTGGATAGAGATGAGGATGGGAAAAAAGTAACCTTCCCTGATGATTGGATTGAGACTGACATTACCATTAACATTCCGACGAAGTCGAAGGAGGACGGCCCCCAGCCCTATACTGTTCCTGGATTCCACTACCGCCCTCTTGTTGAAGTAATGCGCGCCGCATTCGCAGATGTTCAAGCTCAGGCTTTTCATCTCCTCCCTTTCAAACGGCTGTGGAAAGACCCTTTGGACGGCCATGAAGAGCGGGTATTTGACGAGTTATACACCTCCGATGCATGGTTGGCAGCTCAGGACCACATTCAGAAGCTGCCCAGGGAGCATGGGTGCTCACTGGAGCGTGTTATCGCCGGTCTGATGTTCTTTTCTGATGCCACGCATCTGGCAAACTTTGGGACTGCCAAAGCTTGGCCGCTTTACTTATATTTCGGAAATCTGACCAAGTATGCAAGGTCGTCGCCCAAATCGGGAGCTTGCCATCTAGTAGGATTCTTGCCGTCAGTAAGTTTTCCTTACATTCAGCACACTCGCCTTCTGTTGATGAAGTCAGCTTCCCGATAGCGTGAAAGATATTCTAAGTAATTTATATCGCGTATCAAAGACCGGCATAGCGTCCCTTCAAGCTCACTGCCGCAGGGAATTGTTTCATTCCTGCTGGGAAATCCTGTTGGACGAGGACTTCATTCACGCATATAGTCACGGCGTCGTTCTTAAATGTGCTGACGGAATATGGCGGAGGGTCTTTCCTCGAATCTTCACATATTCTGCCGATTATCCTGAAAAGTATGTTCCTCTGAATACCTATTTCGAGACTGCTAAATCACTGTTGATTTACAGGGTTTTAATTGCAACCATCAAGGACATGGGGTTGTGCCCTTGCCCCCGCTGTCTTGCGCCCAAAAACTCGTTTAGTTTTCTCGGGCTCGTGAAAGATATGAAAAGTCGAGTGACAAATCTTCGGGTATATGCTTTGGCGAAGGTTTTGAAGGCTCGTGAATTTATCTACAATGGAAGCACGGTTGACGGCGTAAAGGTAGAACACAGTCTTGGTGAGGGCTCCTGGGTGCCCATCCTGGTGAGTGCAACTGTGCTTCCTTGTGTTATATGGATCAACTACACGTCATACACTGCAGAATCAGTTCGCCAAAAGGCTTGGACCACTTGGCCTTGATGCATTTGGCATGCTCGTAGTTGATTTCATGCACGAGTGCGAACTCGGCACCTGGAAGGCGCTACTTACGCACCTTATCAGGTTGCTCTATGCCATCCCTGGCGGGAGTCAGTTAGTGTCAACCCTGGACAGCAGGTATGGAGATTTCACATAGCGCTACCGCTTGCTAACTAGTAGCCTAATTCTGATCTTCTATAGATTTCGACAGATCCCCACTTTTGGCAATGGGGTGATCCGCAAGTTTTCAAACAACACCTCTGAGATGAAGAGGTTAGCGGCGCGCGACTTTGAAGACATCTTACAGGTCTTCTGGTTATTTATTTTATACTTTATACTAGCTGACACGCTCTTAGTGCGCCATTCCGGCCTTTGAAGGACTTTTTCCGGTCCCCCATGATGCGGTGGTACAATCTTTGTTGTATTGGTTTGCCCAATGGCATGCACTCGCTAAACTCAGGCTTCACTCTGAGTCCAGCGTTACTTTCCTGGCAGAAACCTTCAAAAACCTGTCTGGGATGCTACGAAAGTTCCAACGTCACACATGTGCCGCGTTTAACGCTGTGGAACTACCCAAAGAGAGAGCAGCCCGCCAACGAAAGGCCGCTCAACATTCTGAAACCCACAATATGTCTGCAGATTCAAGTGGGGCGCGCTGGAAGACATTTAATTTAAGTACCTATAAATTTCATGCGATGGGTGATTATGTGAGAACCATCCGGTTCTTCGGAACTACAGATTCGTTCACAACGCAGATTGTAGGTACCTTTAACATTCACGCTATGTATCTGAAGTTTGCCCAGGGAGAGCTTGCTCACAGAGCCCTGAAGGCGTTTTATCCACTGACAAATAAATTAGACACCCCAGCGCAGCTGGCGAAGCACGAGCGTAGGCGTCGTGTTCTGCAGCGGGTGGCAGAAGTAGCGGGCACCTCGTCGCCAGGCAATCAGTCAGGAGCCGACGCCCTACAGTCAACTTCCTCGGAACAGCAGCATCATATCGCAACAAATCGGAACAATCCAGTACAGATCTTCGCCTTTATCCGGGAACATGAGGGTGATCCAGCTGTCAAGGTAGAAGTTATCTTGGACGCACCTGTAATCTGCTCACAGAGTTCGTCAGAAATTCATTCCAAAATTAAAGGACCATATCCTTTATAGGTTGCGGGAGCTCGACATTACTTTTTGTGACCACGTCTTCACTGACGAGGAACGTAACTCGGTGATCATCCCCAACAACGTAATATACGCGGTTCAGACAATGCAGGTGCACTACACCACCTACGACTTGAGGCATGAGTATGATGTCATCAACCCCCGAACTCATGGGGATGTCATGGTGCTGTCAGGGGAGACAAATCCTAGGCACCCATACTGGTATGCCCGGGTGTTAGGCATCTATCATGTGGAGGTATGGATTAACGACGGTCACCTGTCTGTGAAGTGGCACCTAGATATTCTGTGGGTAAGGTGGCTGGCACTCGTACAGAACCATAGATCTGGTATGAAATGCGCTCGCCTTCCGAAGGTTGCATTTGTAGAAGAATCGGACATGGATGTATTTGGCTTCCTTGACCCAGGGCAAGTCATCAGAGGGGCGCATTTGATTCCTGCATTTCACTCAGGAAGAGGTATAAGTTCGCTTCGACATGGAAAGTCGCTTGCACGTCCTGGAGGGGAGCTAGATGATTGGGAAGAATACTACGTTGGGATGTAAGTGTGAATATCCCTTACCCTTTGTGTCATAACCCTCACGATTTTGAGCCAGATTCGTTGATAGAGACATGTATATGCGCTATACCCATTTGGGCGTTGGTCATTCAGTCACACTTCGAAGGCTCGCACGAGACGCTTTTGGTACAGATTCACTGACTTGGACAGGGACCGAAGCCATGGACGTTGTAGATGAGGAGGACCTAGATGGCGGTGAGGGTTTTCAGGAATGTGACTATCAGCAAGAAGACTGCAGTGACGAGGATGACGATTCGGAATGTGACGATGAAGTCGATGAAGAGGACGTGGACTCAGATGGAATGGACAGTGGGGAGCATTATGGTGACGACGAGGACGAAGAGTTGGAATTCTCTTTCTAAAAAAATGCCTTCCTCACATTCTATCGCTTGAATTGAAGTTATCTTCGCCTTAATTAGTACAAACAATCCGCTCGCCTGCGGACAGTTCAGTTGTATAGTATATAGCGGATAGTGTGCTCCTGAGTCACGTGCATGAAAGCGGGAGTACACGTTGCAGAGTCGGAGTCGGAGTGTATTACCTTGTTTGCTTCATTTGTTATCGATCGCTGCCGTGACACGTTGCATAGAATCATCCAAGTCATCATACGAGCTGATTTGAACCAACAGACTCAGTGCGGGCAAGCCTCAGCAATCCTATAACAAAGGCTGGTCGACATTGGTACTCAAGAATTA